GCACAAGCCCTGTCAACATCTCCTGCAGCCTGAACATGCCTCTCAGATCTGACCTGAGTCTGGGGATGATGAGCCGTCTCAGCCTCGCTATTCTACCGAAGGCCTGTACACTGCATCCCAAAGTCTAGAAGTAAATTTAGGGTCCCGATCACTAATGATACTTTCAGGAACACCATGAAGTTTCACAATCTCTCTTACATATATACGAGACAACTGCTCTGTGGAGAAACTCGTTTTAACTGGTATGAAATGTGCAGACTTTGTCAATCTGTCAACAACTACCCAAATGGAATCAAAACCAGCCAGAGTTCTCGGTAATGCTTCTACAAAATCCATAGAAATACTAACCCATTTCCATTCCGGAATATCCAAGGGCTGCAGTAATCCAGAAGGTCTCTGATGTTCAATCTTAACTTTCTGACATGTCAAACACTTACTCACAAATAGAGCAATGTCTTTCTTCATTCCCGACCACCAGAAATTCCGTTTCAAGTCTTGGTACATCTTGGTAGCACCAGGATGGATAGTGTACTTACCCATGTGACCCTCAGTTAATACCTCATCTACCATCTGACCTTTTGGAACAATGATCCGATCCTTGTAAAACTTAAGACCGAACCTATCAGTGGACACAAAGTCCTGCTCTTTCATAGACTGAATCTCTTCATCAAGCAATTGAGCTTCTTTAATCCGCTCAACTAATGAATTCAGGACTACCGTAGTAGTCAATACATGCGGACTATCTTCTATATTCACAGGAATGTGGAGATCCCTGAATTTCTCAATCAAATTATACTCGGAAATCATCAAATTGGCCATACCAAGCGCCTTTCTGCTTAAAGCATCAGCTACTACATTGGCTTTACCAGGGTGATATTGCAATTCAAAATCATAATCCTTCAGAAATTCCACCCAACGGCGTTGCCTCATATTTAGCTCCTTCTGATCAAACAGATACTTTAAACTTTTGTGGTCACTGTAGACAATAAAATCGGCCCCGTATAGAAAGTGTCGCCAGATTTTCAATGCGAACACTACGGTTGCCAACTCAAGATCATGTGTCGGATAATTCTCCTCATGCGGTTTCAACTGCCGAGAAGCATAAGCGACCACCTGACGGAACTGCATTAACACACAGCCTAACCCAAACTTAGAAGCATCACAATACACCACAAACTTACTTGTAGGATCCGGCAATATCAATACCGGAGCTGTAGTCAACTTCCTTTTTAACTCTTGAAAGCTCACTTCACATTCTTGGGTCCAATCCCTCAATAAAACGCCTATAATATCCAGCCAAACCAAGAAAACTCCTGATCTCTGTAACATTTTTAGGACGTTCCCATTCTACCACTGCTTCAATCTTGCTCGGGTCCACTGCCACTCCTTCAGATGAGATGACATGGCCCAGAAATTGTATCTCAGAAAGCCAGAATTCACATTTTGATGGTTTAGCATACAACTGATGCTCTCTCAGAATCTGCAAAACAACCTTTAGATGCTCAGAATGCTCTTCTTTACTCTTTGAATATATCAGTATGTCATCTATAAAGACCACCACAAACTGATCCAGATAGGCTTTAAAGATCTGATTCATATAACCCATGAAAACGGCTGGTGCATTTGTAAGCCCAAAAGGAATAACCAGATACTCATAGTGCCCATAACGGGACCTGAAAGCTGTCTTCGGAACGTCATCCGGCTTTACCCGGATCTGATGATACCCGGACCGGAGATCAATCTTAGAAAATACAGTCGCACCCCGCAACTGATCCAACAAATCATCTATCCGCGGCAAAAGATACTTATTCTTAACAGTAACCTTGTTCAACTGCCGGTAGTCTGTACATAATCTCATAGACCCATCCTTTTTCCTAACAAAGATCACCGGGGCTCCCCAAGGAGACACACTCGGCCTAATAAAATTTTTTCTGGATAGGTCTTCAATCTGCTTCTTCAATTCAGATAATTCTAGAGGTGACATCCGGTATGGGGCAAGAGAAATAGGTCCCACACCAGGCAATAAGTCAATTGCAAATTCAATTTCCCTCTCTGGAGGAAAGTGCGGAATCTCATCCGGAAAGACATCCTCAAATTCAGAGACAATCGGAATAACAGAAATTGGCTCCTTGTTGACGCCAACCAGACCTCCCAATAAAACATACCCGGAATCTCCTTCCTTCAAGGCCTTTACCACCCGAAGTACAGACAAATAAGGAGACTCCTTTTCTTCATCATAAGATGAGACAGAAATGGTTTTACTGCAGCAGTCAATCTTCACACAGTACTTGGACAACCAATCCATCCCCAGAATTAAATTCACAGAAGCAAGGTGCAAGACAATAAAGTCGGCAGAATATTCCCTGCCTTCATACTTGAATTTCACATTTTCACAAACATAGTCTTCATTAAAAACTCTTCCCATAGCCGTAACAATACGCATAGGAGTTTTCATTTTTATCACATGCAGACCAAATGCTTCAGCTACATAATCAGCAATAAAAGAATGTGTGGCACCAGAATCAAACAAAACACTAAGCATTTCATCACGAATAGAAATCATACCTCGCACCAAACTAGCTGACCTCTCAGCCTCTTGCTGAGTCACTGCATATACTCGGGCAACTGGAGGTGGGAGAGGTAGAGATGGTTCCTCAACCACAATAGGAGCCGGAGTGGCCTGAATAGTAGAAACCTGTCCCCCATTAAAGGGGCAGTCCCTAATAAAATGCCCAAGTTGGCCACATGTGTAACACAGTCTTTGCTCTTTTCTGCAAACCCCTGCATGAACTTTACCACATGTAGCACATAGAGAAGCAGGCTTAATATTTCCAGGCTTAGAATTTCCCGCCTTTTTGAACTTACCATCAGACTGTCTAACCTGCAACCCTTTTCCTTTAGAATTCCCAGAGGTGTTTTTTGGACCAGAATTAGGAGCAGATTGGTCCTTATGCTTCCTTCTGTAATATTCTTGAATATTTTTACACTTTTTAACAAGTGCAGCAAAAGTATCAAACGAGTCACCTGCAAGTTTTTCAGAGATGTTATCATGTAATCCTCTATGAAATTTAAAAATCAAGTCATCCTCTGTAGGTGGAGCTCTCTGGAAATGAGAGTATTTGGCCAGCTTATTGAACTTATTCAAGTATTCATCAATAGACATCTGACCCTGCTTTAGTTCTTCAAATTCACCCTTCTTCCTTATCCGGGCTTCAGCCGGAAAGTATTTCAGCAAGAATTGCCTTTCAAATAAAGGCCAGGTAATAGCATAACCCTGACATTCCAAGGGCAGACGGGTATTTCTCCACCAATCAGCTGCATCATTCTGCAACATATAAGAAGCATACAACAATTTCTGCTGATCATCACACTCCATGACAGTAAAAATGCGATCCAATTCTTCTAACCACTGAATTGCAGCAATAGGATCAATGCCTCCTTTATAATTTGGTGGTGCATGTTTTCGGAAGGCATTTAGCATTCTTTCTCTTTGCTCTCTATTAGTGGCTGGTTGTGCCACACCACCCCTGTGACTAGATTCTTCATTCACATCATGATTTCCTTCACCCTCCACAACAATGGGATTTTGAGGAGGAGGAACAGGCTGTTGTGGTTGTGGCTCAGGCTGTGGCTGTGGACCTTGCCCACCCGCCCTCACCTCAACCAAGAGTAATCTCATCATTTCAATATTCGCCATTCTGCTTGCTGCCATCATTTCTTGATTGGCCAACCTATTAGCCTCTAACAGATCTTGATTTGCTTTCATCATCACTTCAAGCTCTCGCTGCCTAGCTGCAGCCATATTTTGTTGCATCTCAGTTAAGGCCATTATCATTGGATCTGGCTGTGAAGTATTTCCCCGCTGGTTTAGTCGGGGTCTTGCCAAATCTGCTAATATTGGATCGGTCGGGTCAATAGGAGGATCAGAAGTCCTTCTTGGGCGAACCATAATTCTGCATATTTCACACAAAGGAATGAGTTAGCTACGCTCACACTCGGTGATCAGACATGCATATCATAGTATTCCAAGAAAACTCAAGAATATGACAACCCGAACAGTTCATGCAATATTTCACAGGCTCTTCTAGAGAAACTGCTCTGATACCATAAATGTAACATCCCCGTCTCGAGCCGGTTCAATTAACATACATATGATAAAACAGAAAACAGCGGAAGACTTAACTTCTGACAATACGAGCTAACTTTTTTTTTTCTACTTTAATTCTGACTCGGGGTAAACGAAAATCGGGCAGAGTTTCCTCTATAAATCGGACAACTGGGGATTTTCCAATCCCACACAGAAGCATTTCCTGATAAACAGTTTATACAAATATAATCAAATTCCCATCCATGGGCGCATGCATAACTTGGCTCAGTGCCACTATATCTAACAGCATGCAATCCAACACGTAAACATATCTGAATACTACCTCATCACATAACGTGCCTGAATACCCAAATGTACATGCATCAAAGCGACAGACGTGTACAAAACATATACAGGCCATATACAAAATAAAGGATCAATATCATGATCCATCAAATGCGAAAATACTAAAATACATCAAACACTCCAAAAAGGTAGTAGCCTACAGCCACTCAAAATCCGATCTCTCAACTGCCTCAGCCACGTGTCGTGTCCCTGCCTAGTGAGGACTCACCGGGAATCTGGGCACCTGAAAATGTGTCCCCAAAGAGGGGTGAGATTACAAATCTCAATAAGCTCCAGGTTTATAGAGAATTCTCCATACCCCTGGCTCACTCCTGCATGAAAGTCAGATACAAAGTATACGAATACAACATATAACAGATATCATAACAGAACAGAGCATATATCCATATCATATCAGAGATGTGCGCCGTCATTCCCAAGGGAGGACCCCAAGCGGAAATCAACGCACGTGTTCCCGAGGGAGGACCCCAAAGCGGAACCAGACATATCAGAGGAGTACACCATCAGTCCCGAAGGAGGACCCCAAAGCGGACGTCCGGGTACTATACAATCAATGGCCAGAGATTGTTACAGAAATCAAATTACAGAAGTCATATCAGAGCAAAACATATCATGTTATCAAATAACTCTATATGAATGCATCTATACAAAGCATCTAAATCACAGTCATACAGTCCAACCATAGTTCACTAACCATGGTGGAGCACTCAAGCAGGAAAAGACTCCTTAAACATAGAGCTTACCTCTTGAAGCTTTACCAATACGCTTACTTGTGGAACAAGTTACTTTTATCGCTTCAAGAGATTTCCGATCCTTCTCAATCCCTAGGCACACCTAGAGAATAATTTACAATGCATCAATAAAATGATGCAATACCATAATTATTTCATAAGCATACATTTTATCGCTTATTTTCCTTTCTTTGCATTTTTGCCAATCCTATGCCAATACACAAGTCTAGACCTCTTTATAACCGTTGGTGTTCTTTAATTTAATCAACCATTCCCTTAGGAATTTTCAACATAAATCATGCTATTTTTCTTCAAAACTCATCACCTTTATACAATTTATTTCAACACATTTTATTTAAAATAAAATGTACAAAATATATCCCTAAATACCCTATAGGTCGAACACTATAAGGAAATAGGCAAGGGTTCTTTTCTTTTTAATTAATGTAACTTACACATACAAATGTATGTTTCCCTATTATTTCAACTTAATGTTTGGACATCAAGTCCTTCCCAACACCTCAGGCCGAAGTGTAGGATCCAAAATACATAGGATTTTTCCCTTTTGGCCTTCTCACTAATTTCACCAATTCTATTCTCTCTCAAGCACCTTAGGCTCTCTTAATACATCATATAAATTTTTTGCCCAATGGTCCCTATTCAACCTATCATGGCCGAACTTAGGGGAGTGCAAACCAAGGGAATTTTTCTTCATTTAACACATGTTGATGTTTCTCTTCTACACTAAGACTTCCTATACAAAACAAGCCATCATAATTTTCAAGTTTTATACTACTTTCTTTCTCACCCACACATGCTCACAAATTCAAAACATAGATCACAAAATAAAATCATAGGATTAGAGTTTTGTTACCTCTAATCACCTATCCAAAACCTAGAAGACATTCACCAAGAGAATCTCCATCAAAAGCTCCATTTTGCCTTCTTGATGAATAGTGCCACGCAAAGGGGGAAGAGAATATCTCCTCACACAAACAATGATAGTTCAAACTAATGGTGGGAATGGATTCATTGGACCTTTTCCTATGAGTTTCATGTGTAGCATAAAGCTTTTTGATGATCAAATGAGTGAGAATGGAAGGAAGAAAGAAAACAAAATGAAACCTAAGCCAAACCTTCCATGTGAGACAACCACGGGAATGACGAGAAGAATGAAGAAAAGCAACGCATGAGAGAGAACTTTAAAGGGAGTTATGGCTTTTATAAAGTTAACTTATTTTAACTGGGTAAAGGTTTATCTATCTACACACCTCCATTCATTACTAAACTTTGCACACTAGTCCAGAATATTTTTATGCTAAAATTTATAATTTTACTTTTTACTTTCGGGTAACTTTATTTACCCGCATTTTTACTCCTTAACTGTCATTTTAACTCCTTTTTCACCAAATGTGACTTTATTTCTTTTACTTCTAATTATTCTTCGATATTATATCCACAATTACTAGTAAGGGTTATTATATAACACCCTGTGTATACACGGTTTGTTAACATGTCATCGTATTAAGCCATGCTTAATTAAAATTGCGGAATATCTTTTTCTTTTCAATTATGACGTCATTATCCTTACCAAGTTGAATTACTTAATTCATTTCAAAACATCGCCTGTATGTAAATTGCAAAAGACAACTAACTAAAATACCTCAATATAAAATTAACATCAATATGTCTCTAGTCACGGAACTACAACACGTAGACCGGACAACCCTGATAGTTTATACAACTCAAGCTAAAAGTACTAACATCAATGTGGCATGGACAAACCCCATGCTCACCCAATAAGGCAACAAAGCCCACAAAAGTGTCAACAATAGCAGCATAATAATAACAAGCTAAAAGCATAACATCAGCAGATATAATCCAGCATCCAAACATGTCAGCATATAACATCAATATCAGCTAAGCTCCGGCCTCCTGCCGCTAGAGGCATCAGCCCCCAAGTTACCTGAACCCTGAAATAAGCGTCCCCAAACGTGGGGTGAGATCTCTAAACAAGAAATCTCAGTAAGACAAGGGGTCCTCTAGGATCTTCCACCCATAACTCACTTACATGTGCAATATAAGTTCAAAAGCATTTAACAGTATAAGTTCCAAAACTATGCAGTGCAACAGATATTCATGTCATGTGTGTTTTAACTATTCTACTGGCCAGAGAAATGCAGGACGTACGTCTACAACCCCACAATAAGTACAAGGAACACCGTTTGCACCTCACCCACAGCCTCACCATCTTGTATGTCTCCACATACTCAGGCTTACCGTATAAGTGGAACACCACATGCATATTATAAAGGCACTCGCACATAACAGCTCAATCGCATTTATCAAAACAATACATGAAAACAACATCATGCATATAAACCATCCCCCCATGGGACATGGTGGAACCAACAATGACTAAACTGAGGACACAAAAACTTACCTCTTAAGCAATACGTCCAAACCAAGAGCTCACACTAGTTCAAGCCCACAAACAGCACAATCACAATCTGTTTATACAGTAAATAATCATCAATAATCATTACTCTCGGTTACATTAAGTGATTAAGGCTTCCCATCTCATTTTAAGTCATTTTAGACAGTTTCTGCAGGAGGTATTCGAATACTCTCCGATGAGTATTCGAATACTCCTGCCCTCCAGAAAGTATTCGACTACTTTCACTGAAGTATTCGAATACCACCTGATATTCGAATACCCACACCCCAGTATTCGAATACTACCCAGTATTCGACTACTTCTTCATGGTATCCGAATACTTTTCTTCCTAGAAAAGTATCCTAATACTCTTGCAAGGAGTATTCGACTACCAGTGAACAAGTATTCGAATACTACACGAAAAGTATTCGAATACTTCTTCACCAGAATGCAGAAATACGAACAGTGGTCTGCATAATCCCATTTTTAAGGGTTCAAACGTGATTTGGAGTCCAATGACTCCATAAACAGATGTTCATTAACATGTTATGAACTCAGAAACACATTCCTTTAATTAAATGATCCAAGTTTTACTTTTTAACCGATTAAACAAGCTTAAATCATCAAAATGACAAAGAGGTGATCATGGTATACCTCTAAGCTCCAAAACTCCGAAAATGAGACACACAAGGGGTCCTCAACACAGCACCACAACACTGACTTTACCAAGATACGAATTTGTTCAACAAGCTAGACCCTTTATGCCAAAAGGTGGCTTCTTGAAGCTCAAGAAGCCAAGAATAAAGCCACACAACCAACTCAGAAGATGCAGCCCCTTAAACCCAAACAAACAGAAAGCACACCCTCAGAAATGCTTCACCAACTCCCCCACAAAGCTCACTAAACCAGTGTTTATAACTAAAAGAGGAAGAATCAAAGTAAATGTGGAGTCTTGAGGGATATAGTGAAGAAAAACCAATGGAACAGTGAAGAGGGAGGGAGGCAGCAGCTACACACACACAACCCACGCAAGAAATGGCTGAGTATCAGCCTAGGGTTGTGTGCAAGTGGCTATATATAGTCCATTAAGTTGAGATACACAGTATTAACAATAATAGCTACACTTAGCATTTTAATCTCAAATTTGAGATTCTTAACCTAGCCATTTTTTCAAGATTTATCATATTTTTATTTTATTTTTCGCAGCACATTTTCCATAGCCAGTATCAGTTCTGGCACCAGTTTTCATTATTTTAACTTGAAACTTGTTTTACAAGTCCTATATAATATTCTAGTGACATATACACACTTTTCATAATTTTCCGGGATACTTCATCGGTACGCATTTATACCGAGTAGCAGAACCGGTCTCTGCACTTTTCGTCAGAAAGGCGGCTTTCAGCATTATTAATTACTTATCATAATTATTTAAGCCTTCTCATAATTATTAGGGTCAATTATGGAATCATTTCCTAATTTCACATAATTAATTAATTAACTTCCTTAATTAACGGTGCGGGTTCTTACATGACTCATTTAGTTGATATCGTGGTCCCTCACAAATTCAAAAAAGACCCACATTAGTCCTTCAAAAAGACTAAAATTAGTCCAATGTGAATTTTTAAGGACCACGAATAGCCTTTTTATTTGTTAGAGACTAAAGCGGGCATCATAAAATTTGCTAGCACCAAAAAGAGTATTTACTCTTAAATTATTGTAATACTTAAAATCGGTAGCATATTACTTAAAATCTCCTCTGACCTTGCATAGGGGCATGCCTTCCCTAATCTAAACTTTCATCTACCAAAAAAAGAGAATGCAGCACAAAATCATAAATAAAAAAATAAAATAAAAAACTCTTTTTTTTTACAGGTAGAACACGTTCTGACTTTCATCAAGCCTCAAGGGACATCCATTCATCGATCAAAGAAAGCTTACAAGTTTTAGATTAACACCCATATACCAGCAAATAAACATGTACGTTTGGGAAATCCCAATTTTAAGACAGCATACAACTAGACATCTGAAATCAAATGCAAATTACTTTGCACACTAAATAAAAATTCCACCGTGCACAGATCCAAGGCCATAATTTGTCAACCTATTGTTAGCATAGGCTATTGATTAAGATGATTACCACAACAAACCAATCAAATACAGTAATACAAAAGCCTTATTAATACGTAAGGAAGAACCAAAATAAATAAAGTATTGGCATCATCGTTAAATAAAAATGTAGCAGCAGAGTAATCGTGGCTGCTGCAGAACCAGAATCTGGAAAAATAGATCTGTAAAATTAATGAGTAGCATGAAAAACATGAGAAGTAAACTTGGAAATTCCAAAAACAAACAGCAAGCTTTCAGTGCTTAGAAGAACATTTATCAAGCAAATTATGTGGTCAGAAACAGAGATTAGTCTTTCCCTTCACATATACTGTTATGGGAAAACAAAAAAACAAAAAAACAAAAAAAAACAAAGGAAGAACCTACCATCCAACAACTTCAAGATTTAAAGATTAAAGAAATGGTCCAAATTACGCTTCCTGAAATCCTCCTCAAAAGTCTCAGCAGCAACAAAAAAAAACTATCACAAGCTGCCCAAATCAATAAATTACTTGAAAAAGAAGGATTGTATTATTTGAATTATATATTACAACTGTATAGGAGCTCTCTGTTTAAAGAGACTAAATAACTTAATGGACTGAGTCCAAAAAAGATTCTAGAATGGAAAAATAAATAAAAACAATAATTTACCACACTCCTTCTCGAGCTGAGGAATATATATTTATCATTCTCAGCTTGTTAGTAAACTCTTGAAATCTTTCTGAGAGAAGTCTATTTGTCAAAATACAAGCTAATTGACATCCAAAAGGGATGTATGGTGTGGTGATCAACCCACTATCAAGTTTATCTTTGATGAAATGACGGTCGACTTCAATGTGCTTAGTACGATCATGTTGAACTGGATTATGAGCTTTACAAATGGCGGACTTATTATCACAAAGCAGCTTCATGGGTCCTTCACATCTTATTTTGAGATCATTAAGTATAATTCTCAACCACAATAATTCACAAATGTCTTGAGCCATAGCTCGAAATTCAGCCTCTGCACTCGATCTGGCAACCACATCCTGCTTGTTACTCCTCCATGTCACTAGGTTACCACAAAGAAACATACAATAACTAGTAGTAGATCGACGATCAATTGAAGTTCCAGCATAATCAGCGTCAGTGTAAAATTGTAAAGAGAGATTGTCATCACGTTGGAATAACAGTCCTTTATCAGTAGTGGCTTTAAGATACTGAAGAATTCTCTTCACTGCCTGCATGTGTCTTTCTTTTGGATTATGCATAAACTGACTCACAATACTAACAACATAAGCTAGGTCTGGTCTAGTATGAGCCAAATATATCAGTCTCCCAACTAGCCGCTAATATTGTCCTTTATCAACTGGAGGATTCTCCTCTTCATAACTCATTTTGTGATTCTGCTCAGTAGGAGTACTAGAGGGTTTACATCCAAGTTTCCCTACTTTTTAAAGAAGATCAAGGACATATTTCCTCTGGCTGATAAAAATTCCTTCCTTGTAATGAGCTACCTCTATCCCTAGGAAATATCTTAATTTCGTAAGGTCTTTAATTTCAAACTAAGAAGCTATTCGTGCTTGTAGAATATGTCTCTCTGTAATATCATCACCTGTTATAATAACATCATCAACATACACAAGGAGCACAATGAGCTTCCCATCTTGGGAGTGCTTAAAGAAAAGTGTATCATCTCCTTGACTCTGTTTGTATCCTAAGGCCATCATAACCTTAGTAAATCCCCCAAACCAAGCACAACGAGACTGCTTCAATCCATACAAGGCCTATTTTAACCCACAAACTTTATTTTCTCCATTTATAGAGTCATAGCTAGGTGGAATTTCCAGGTAGGCCTCTTCTTCCTCTTCTTCTAACTCACCATTAAGGAAAGTATTCTTCACATCAAATTGATTCATATCCCAGTTG